ACGTCCTTTTCCCGACAAAGCGAGACCATGCTGCGACCCAGAAAGTGCACCGGAAAGACTCGCATCGGCCGCAAGTCTCAAGTGATCCGTTTTTCTGCCCCAGAAAGGTCGTCACTCAAGGGGCCTCCCCCTCCCCCTCCCCCTCCCCCTCCCCCTCCCCTCCCCCTCCCCTCCCCTCCCCTCCCCTTCTCTCCCCTCCCCTCCCCTCGGGGGTCGGGCGGGATCGAGCTCGAGGGGGGCAACGGAAACGGCGGCACCCGCCAGGGGTCGTCCGCGCCACCGGCGCATCAATCGCCTTGCCTGCGCGCGCCGCAGCATGCAAGTGGGGGGTCCTGGGCCCCCCCCCCCCGAAACGACCGTTAGCGTTGCCCCAGGGCCGGGGGGGGGCGGCTTGGCGCGGGAACGAGCGTAAACCTGTGGAAGGACAACAAAAACGCTCACCAAGAAGACACTGAACATCGGCCTCGGACACGTTTTGCCCACTGGTTGGCGGCGCGGAGGACGCGGCGGCCATCGGTCAGGGCCGCGGCAACCCAGCGACCCAGCTCGCACTGCGTAAGACCGAACAGCGCAGAAACAGGAAGCTCGTGCTCGATTGGAATCTCGACCATCGCCCGAAGCCGGCGCAGGCGCCGAACTCTCGACCCGGGAGCCGCGGGACAGATCCTCCAAGACTTCCAGACCTCCAAGTTCGTGATCGCGCGAATGTGCGCATGCGTGTCTCTGCGTGCCCCTCCATGCACCATGGCCCGAAGATGTCGCGGGATCGGCTTGCCCAAAGCTCAAAACCCAACGCTCTGCAATACCAGAGAGGTCATCCCAAGTTACACAGCCCCCTGGACCCTGGAGATATACGCAGCACGCTTTACCGACTTTGGAACACCAACGCATTAAGCCCCGAACCTGCGACCAGTTCATCCGCAATGATTTCACCCTGGCTCTCCGCCCGGATACACAGGGCCCCGTCGGGTCAAAGATGCCGCACCCCCTCCACTTGCGCATCTCATCCCATGCGAGATTTGCCCGATCCCAGACTGTTTGAAAACGAGGCGGTTCTGCTGCGCGGCAAGAAAAATCGGGCGGCCTCTTGTCTGCCTCGATTCTGGGAGTAGCCCGACGGCGAACGGGCCTGGTCGAGAGCGTCATTAGCCTTGCGAAGCTGAGCGGCGCAACGATCAGCTGTCAGGCGTGCGCGAGCATAAAGCTGCAGGATATCATATACGAACGTGTCGATGAGCGCATCGCAGTTTTTGAGGTAAGCAGGGTGCGCACTCATCACGCGGTCGGAGGCATCCTGCAACGCCAGGCGCCACTGGCCAAGAGCAGCCCAGGACGCATCAAGAACTTCTTCCCATACCCCCCCCCGGGCGTGAACATACGTCTCCCGGGCCAGTGCACCGGCGTGTGCGATCATGTGTTTACGTCCATGTTCAGGTAAGCGCGCACGTGAACGTTTTAGCGCAGTATGGCTGTTCTGACGAATCACACTGCGCTGAGGCGACGGGGGGGCGCGCGTCACATCGTAGGACGCCGCCGAAAAAGAAATGCCACATCTTCGCTTCGCAGCCGCCACGACACGACATGGGAGTTCATCAACGCGGCTTCGCGCCGAAACTGAGCTCGACCACCGCATGCATGGCGAGGCAAACGAAGGAGGGCACGCGTGCGATATACGCCTCGATGGAAACTGCGGCAATAACGGGAACAGCCACGAATGAGTCTGATCCCTCGTGTTTTTGGAACTAACGGTCGCGCGTGCGAGCGGCGCCCAACAACTACCCCCCCCACGCGCAGCGCATGATCAAACAACTGCTGGATGTGCTGCGCGCTCTCGCCCATGCCCTCCTCCTCCTCCTGTTTTGGGCTGGGAACCTAATTCCATCCTGCCATCCTGTGACTGTTGTCTGGCATTCGGCATTGGCAACACTTGTCATAAGTCTGCCGCCGTACTCTGAAGATGGGCAGCACGCAATCGGCGACATCTGCGAAGTTCGCGATGTGTCCGCTTTAAATCGGAAGGAGCACACATATCTGCACCATTCTGAGGAAGGGGTTAAAGGTGGCGCCACAAAAGACTGGAACGCTTCATGCTGTGGAACAAGACGATCACTGTCCCTTATATTCTACACGTTGGCCCCGACATCCGTAGCGCCTCCTTCCACTCTGTACAGGTAGCTCGAGCAACGTTGGTAACACTGCAGAACCGTAGTTATCCTAACCAACATGGGCGTACCAGCTAACAGTCGTCATAGGCAAGCAACTTAAGCATGATCGCCCTGGCTGTAAGCGTCTATCACCTCCTGGCCAATGTGTTGCTTTCACGTTGTACACGATATGCTGGGCTCCCGCTGGGTCTGCTTGCTTAACTGGTTGATCTCCGTAATTTTTCTGGATGCTCTTCGAGGCTCCATTTCTCAGCTGCTTCGTTCGTTGTAAATGAGTTCTGGTCGAAGCTAACGGCAACGATGTTTCCAGGGGGCCTCCTTGGTGTTTGGCGGGTCCTTTCCGAACGAAATTGCGGGCCGTCGGGGTCGCGTTCTCGCAGAGAGGCGTCCAAAGACGGACTGCCGTCGGATCCTCGTGAAGGGAAGACCATTGAATTCCTCCGGGTGCTCTTCCAAGGTCTCCTGGACCTCCGGGAGAAACTTATCCATCAAAATACCCTTCCGAACGCCTTTAGCAATAGATTTCTGTTTCCAGGCGCGAGCTTGAGAGCGCGGCTGGAGCACTGCCAGCTCGCAATGAAACGTTAGAACCAAAGGAACGTGATCCCGAGAGACAGAGTCAGGCTCGAGCGGAAGGTCGCCATCCCGCGCGTCGCCAGGCTGGAGCATCCTGTAGCTCATCACCTGCAGTCGTGGGGATGATGGCGTGGTCGATGTAGGAGCTGCACCTCGCGTAGAACGTGGACGCGTGTCACAGTGTTTACTGGCCACGGTGAGGACGTGTTTTGTCATGGCTTCGCCAAGATTCGCCGCAGCCTCGCCCATTGGACTCCCCCCTTCACCTTGCTACCAGAAATCATCATTGGGACCCATCATCACTATTGGCAATGTTCGTGCGGGAATATCCATCGGTATCGAACATAACCACTCCACAAATATGCGAGGCGTCTGTCTCCACTTGTGTAGTGCGATATGGCCTTGATGATGGAGTGGGAAGTAAGCCGCGACAAACGTAATGTCCAGCTGCGCGTGTACAAGCCCTGCTGCCCCCCCACGCCCAGGACACGTCTCTGGAGAGTCCCGCACGCGACGTACTCGAGTAGACTGCAAGAACAATTCTCGGAGCATGAGGGCCACACCAACAGAGCTGCCCGAGCCCTTGCCAGGCCGACAACCCTTGTGAGTAGTTCTATGACGGTGACGTTGAAGAGGCTGAAGGATACGGGCCCCACAGGGCCACGACATGCATGTGCCGCAACTCCTCGCTCACCAACTCCCCGCGTCCCGAGCGTACACAGGACATGGGGCTCTAGATGCCCCCCTGCAAGAGCCTCATGCAGAAGGTGGGGAGGCGCCTCACTTTCACCACGTAGCACCAACCATCGTGCGGCAGGCGCGGAAGATATGTAGGGTGAGTGTTTGCCCCTCGAGGAATCCCTTGGGCCTTCGAGGGCATCATTATCATCATCATCACCATCATCACGATGATGCTAATCATCATTATCAGCATCAGTATGGTCATCGTTACCGCCAATACCATAAGCAGCAGCATCAACATCAGTAATATCATCATCATCACCATCATCATCATCATCATTATCGTCATCAGTCTCACCATCGTCTTCGCCATCATCATCGTGACCATCATCCTAATCACCAGCATTGGGATCATCGCCGTAATCATCATCATCATCGTCACCATCATCGTCACCACCACCATCATCACCGCCACCAGCATGAGAAGCATCACCACCACCACCACAATCATCATCATCACCATGGCCATTACCATCACCATGAACATCATCATCCTCATCAGCATCATCACCACCATCATCATCACAGCATCAGCATCCGTGTCAGCATCATCAGTATCATCATCACCATCAACATCATCAGCATCAGCATAACCACCACCACCATCATCATCATCATCATCATCATCATCACCATCACCATCATAATCATCATCATCATCATCATCACCACCACCACCGTCATCATCATCATCATACTCATCATCAGCATCAGCATTAGCATCAGCACCAGCATCATCATCATCATCATCATCATCGTCGTCGTCGTCGTCACCATCATCATCCTCATCATCATCAGCAGCATCATCATCATCTTCATCATCATCCTCATCATCATGGTCATCATCCTAATTACCAGCATTAGGATCATCGCCGTAATCATCATCATCGTCACCATCATCATCACCACCACCATCATCATCACCACCACTAGCATGAGCAGCATCACCACCACCACCACCACCACAATCATCATCATCATCATCATCATCATCATCATCATCATCATCATCATCATGGTCATCACCATGACCATGACCATGACCATCACCATCAACATCATCATCACCACCATCATCGTCATCATCATCACATCATCAGCATCAGCATCACCACCACCACCACCACCTACATCATCATCATCATCATCATCATCATCACCATCACCATCACTATCAAAATCATCATCACTACCACCACCGTCATCATCATAAGCATCATCATCAGCATCAGCATCAGCATCAGCATTAGCACCATCATCATCATCATCATCATCACCATCATCATCATCATCACCATCATCATCATCATCATCATCATCATCATCATCATCATCATCATCGTCATCCTTATCATCATCATCATCATCACCATCATCATCATCGTCATCCTTATCATCATCGTCATCATCATCATCAGCACCACCACCACCATCATCATCATCATCATCATCATCATCAACATCGTCATCCCCCGTGCTCCTGGCAAGCGGGAGAGTAGGAGAAAGCGACCCAGCCGCCTCACCACCGTGTCCCACGCTGCCGCTGCGGCATAACCGGTCCTCGCGCGCCCGACTGCAGACGGGGGACGGGGGGGTGGGGGAGTGGCAGGAGACGTGGAAGCGATGCGGCCAGGAAGCCGCCGAGCCCCAGGGAGGAGCGGGGGGGAGAAGGGAAAGGAGGAAGACGTTGTTTGTGTGAGTGTTTTTTTGCAGCCTCTTAGAAGCCTCCTGGTGGAGCCTCATGGCCACTGCTGGGTGCAGCTGCAGAGACGGTCAGGGTGGCGTCGAGGAGGCGTCTGGGGACTGAGTTTGAGCACGAATGGATGGGTCGACCCTTCGGATTCCAGGGGGGGGGGGCAGGGGAGAAGGAGGAATAGGTCTGGGGTGTTCTTGAAGTGGTTCGGAGGATTTGGGAGCTCTTCCTGCTCGAGGCTCCTGGGTATCGGGAGGTCAAGGACAATACGGATGCGTTCTGGCAGCCTCTGGACCCTCTGTCGGGAAGACGAGGAGCGGAGCAGTTTTCCTGGAGGTCAGGAGGAAGAGGTAGAGGAGCAGCAGCAGCAGCACCACAGATCTTCGAACACCCCTCAATCAGAAGCACCATTCGGACCACTTCTCCTCCTCCTCCTCCTCCTCCTCCTCCTCCTCCTCCTCCTCCGCTCCATTTTTCCACCTCCTGCTCTTCTTCCTCCTCCTTGTCCTCCCCCTCCTCTTCCCCCTCCTCCTCCTCCTGCTCCTCCTCCTCCTCCACCTCTTCCCCCCCCCTCTCTACCACCACCACCACCAGCATCAACATCAGCATCAGCATTATTATCATCATCATCATCATCATCATCATCATCATCATCATCATCATCATCATCACTAGCATCATCATCAGCATCATCAGCGACATTATCATCAACATCATCATCATCATCATCCTCTTCATCATCAGCATCATCAACATCACCACCACCATCATCACCGTCATTATCATCATTCTCATCATCCGCAGAAACATCACCATCAGCATCAACATCTACATCATCATCATCAGCACCATCATCATCAGCAGCATCATCATCATCATCGCCATCATCATCGTCGCCATCATCATCATCATGATCCTGTTCTTCTTCTTCACCACCACCATCATCACCATACTTATTATCAGTATCGCCATCATATCGACATCATCATCAGCATCAACATGTACATCATCATCATCATCATCATCATCATCATCATCAACAGCACCACCATCATCATCATCATCACCGTCACCATCATCACCACCACCATCACCATCATCACCACCACCAACACCACCATCCGCATCACCACCACCACGATCGTCAAAAGCAGCATCATCATCAGCATTACCACTATCATCATCACGATCAGCATCAACATCATCACCATCACCATCAGCATCAGCGTCACCATCACCACCATCACCATCACCATCAGCATCAGCATCAGCACCATCAGCATCATCAGCATCAACATCAGCAGCCGCCTCATCCCCGCGATTGTCCCCACCCCTTCCTCCTTACCACCGCCGCCCCCACCAGCATCATCGCCGCGCCTCGCCCTGCCGGACGACACGAGGCGCGCGCGGCGGCAGCCGCTCGGGGCAGTCCGTGGCCCACCGGGGCCCCTCCAGGATCAGGCGGTCGCCCCGCGCGATGTCGGAGGGGTGCACGGGCCCGGGGAGGCCGTCCAGGCACCGGAGCTTCCAGCAGACCTGGCCAGAGCTCGGAGCAGGGGGGGGAGGAGGGGAGGGGGGGAGCTGGAGGAACCTTCGGGGGGGAGGAGGGGAGGAGGGAAGCCTTCAGGGGGGAGGAGGGGAGGAGGGGGGAGGAGGGGGGGGGAGGAGGGAAGGAGGGGAGGAGGGGAGGGGGGAGCTAGAGGAACCTTCGGGTGGGGGGGTAAGACGCTGCAGGGAAAGCGTCGCGCGAAGCGCGAGGAGGAGGAGGAGGGGGCTGGTTGTGGCAGTGGGGTGAAATCCGCCACCGCGCTGCAGCGGTAGGGTAGGTGAGTGTTTGTGAGTGTGTGTGTGTGTGTTTGTGTGTGTGTGTGCGTTTGTGTGTGTGTGTGTGTGTGTGTGTGTGTGTGTGTGTGTGTGTGTGTGTGTGTGTGTGTGTGTGTGTGTGTGTGTGTGTGTGTGTGTGTGTGTGAGTGTGTGTGTGTGTGTGTGTGTGTGTGTGTGTGTGTGTGTGTGTGTGTGTGTGTGTGTGTGTGTGTGTGTGTGTGTGTGTGTGTGTGTGTGTGTGTGTGTGTGTTGTGTGTGTGGTGTGTGGTGTGTGTGGTGTGTGTGTTGTGTTGTATGTTGTGTTTTGTGTGTGTGTTGTGTGTGTGTGTGTGTTTGTTGTGTGTGTGTGTGTGTTGTGTGTGTGTGTGTTGTGTTGTGTGAGGTGTGTGTTGTGTGTGTGTGTGTGTGTGTGTTGTGTGGGTGTGTGTGTGTTGTGTGTGTGTGTGTGTGTGGGTGTGTGTGTGTGGGTGGTGTGTGGTGTGGTGTTGTGGTTTGTGGGTGGGTTGTGGTTTTGTGTGTGTGTGTGTGGTGTTGTGTGTTGTGTGTGTGTGTGTGTGTTGTGTGGTGTGGTGTGTGTGTGTGGGTGGTGTGGGGGGGTGTTGGTTGGTTTGTGGGTGTGTTATGTGTGTGTGTTTTGGTTGTTTATGTGTTGTGTGTGTGTGTTGTGGGTTGGTTGTGTTGTGTTGTTATGTTTGTGTGGTTTGGTTTTTTGGGTTTGTGTGGTTTTGGGTTGTGTAGCCTTATTAGTTGTTGCTGCGTCGTGCGTGCGTGCGTGCGTGCGTGTGTGGCGTGTGTGCGTGTGTGGTGGTGTGTGTACGGGTGTCGTGTGTGTGTGGTGTGCGTGTGTCGTGTTGTGTGTGTGTGTGTTTGGGTGTATGTGTGTGTGTTGTGGGGTTGTTGGTGTTGTGTGTGTGTTGTGGTGTGTTGGGTGTGTGGTGTGTGTGGTGTTTGTGTTGTGTGTGTTGTTGTGTGGTGTGGTGTGTGGTGTTGTGGTGTGTGCGTGCGTGCGTGATCGCGGCCGTGTTCGGCTGATGCGTGCGGCGTGCGTGCCGTGCGTGCGTCTGGGCTCGCGGCGGCTGCGTCGGCTCGTCTCGTTTGAAATTTGTGTGTGGTGTGTGTGTGTGGGTGGGGGGCCTCGCTCCTTGCGAAGCAGTGGTTGGGCCCCCCCGACGCATCGAGCCCAAGGTGCGCTCACTTTTCCGACCGAGCCCCTGCGCTTTGTTGGCCTCCCACCAGGCAGAACACACGCCCCAAAAGCGAGGTTCAGGGGGGGGGGGGGTGGGGCGGCGTTCCACTGCTTATCCCCCCCCCCGCTGACGCCCGCCGCCCCCCCCCCCCCCGCTGGGGGCCCGCACGCTCGAGCGCCAGCATCGCGCGGCGGCGCCACTGGATGCTACCCTGCGAGGCCGCCCGCGCCCCGGAGCGCCCAGCAGACACTGTCGGAGGCGACGCGCGAGACGCCTGCGCGCCTCGCAGGCGCCCGCCGTGTGCACTCGCTGCCCTCCCCTCCCTCCCTCCCTCCCCCTTTCCGGGTCACCCCCTCCTTCCTCGTGATGTGCTCGTCGGGGTCCACACTTTCCCGAGGTGTGCCGCGGCCACCGTGCCGAGAGGCACCGAGGTGGATTAGGGGGCCACCTGCGAGCCCTACCCCCGCTCCCCACGATTTCTGAGGGGGAGGGTGGGGTTCACTCCGTAGGGGTTAGGGGTGGGGTTCGCATGTGGCCCCCCAGTGGAGCATCGCCGCGTGGAAAAAAGGCAGGCGTCCGGGCAGCGTTTCCCACATCATCCATACTTGTTTGAACTCATCCATACTTGTTTGAACTCAATTGAACTCAGCGGCGCGCCGGGCTGGCACGCGCTGGGTGCCACCCGTCAGCCTGCATCCCAGGGCCTGCCCGGCGGGCCGCACCACGAATCCTCGCGCTGCTCGGCTGCGGCCTCGCGCACCGCAGTGGCGAGCGGCAGGCCGCGACCTGCAGCTGCGCCCGCCGCCGGCTGGCTCGGATCCGCGCGGAGCGTGGCCCAGCCGGCTTGGGCGGTGACCCGCGGCTGGCAGGCCCACCACTCCGGGGCGACTCTGGAAGCAGCCCCGAGCGCCCCGCGCGCTCGCCGGCGAAGCGGGCGCAACCGGCCCACCGGTGGCGAGCCGACGCGTGCGGGCACCAGGTGCGCCGCGGCGCTTCCCCGCCGCAGACGTCCGGCTGCTCCCATTCTTTTGGGGGCGTGGACCCGGGAGGGCCGCACCACTCCCCCGGGACCGGTCCTTCGTCCCGAGTCGTCGTTATTGACGCTCTCCCGAGGCCCGGCGAGGGCCCCCGGAGGCCGAGCACGGCCCAAATCCCGCCGCTCCCATTTTTGGGGGGAGCGTCGGACCTCTGGGCGCGCGGCGGCGCCGCCCGAGCGCGCAGGTCCTCGCAGCTCCACCCCCCTGACTCCAGATCCGCCCTACTTTGGCGGTTTATCCTACTTAAATTTGCGTCGGAAATCCACCCATGAGAAGCCGAAAAAGTGGGGCGGAAATTTCTGCACCGAACACAAAGTAGGGCGGACATCCACAGAAGCAGGGCGGAAGCAGCAACCGAAAAGTAGGGCGGAAACTGGCATCCGCGGGGCCTGAAAAGTACAAGGCGGAAATTCCAAGCCCTACTTACGAACTTCCCCAAAGTAGGGTGGATCCGGAGTCAGGGCGGCCTCTGGGGAGGGCCTCGCCTGCCCGCCACCGCCCCCTGGCCGCGAAGAGATCACGGCGGGGCGCCTTCCGGTCGTTTTATTAATTCTGCCGAGAACATTGACTAGGGGAACGGAAACCGACATAAACGTAAAAACTCGGAGGTCCGCGCGGATCTCTCGGATCCGCGCTGGACCCCCCCTAGCGGCGCCTCCTGCGCCGCCCCTGGCGCGCTCCGCCGAGGCCGGCGGCAGGGCCCACCGAGGTCGGCGGCAGGGCGCGGCGCCGCCCGCCGAGGCCTCCGCCGACGTGCCGCCCGCGCGGCCCCGGGCGGCGCCCCGGCGGCCGTCGCCTCGCTGGGCGCCTCGGCCGCCCGCGCCGGGGCGGCGCCGCCGACCGCGGCAGGTCTCTCGAGCCAGGAGGCGAGCGAGGGGAGGGAGGGGGAGGGGGAGGGGGAGGAGGAGGGGGAGGGGGAGGGGGAGGAGGAGGGGAGGAGGAGGAGGAGGAGGGGGAGGAGGAGGAGGAGGAGGAGGAGGAGGAGGAGGAGGAGGAGGAGGAGAGGAGGAGGAGGGGGAGAGGGGCGAGGAGGCGGAGGAGGATGAGGCGAGCGAGGGAATCCTTTCTTCCCGCACCAGGAGATGCTGTCGGGCCCAGCGAGGAGCAGAGGCGAGCGCTGCGAGCCAGGAAGTCTCCTGGGCGGAAAGAGGAAACGGTCAAAGCGCCCCAGGAAAGAAGCAGGACGCCTGCTGAATGATGAACGTCGACGACACCACCTCGCACCCCCCCCAGCCCGTCAACCAACGAAAAAGCCGCCGAGCTAACCCTAAGCAGAACACCTTGATGATTTATGATCTCGAAGTGCCCTCCGATGAGGCTGCGACATCGTTTCTCGATGGGCTGCGATATCACCCTCCTCTTCTACTTTCTCTTCCTCCTCCTCCTCCTCCTCCTCCTCCTCCTCCTCCTCCTCCTATTCATTACCTCCTCTACCCCCTGGACCGGGCTGTTGGGAGCCTTCAAGTCGGAAAAGGACGCAACGTCACCGTTTCTGGATGAGCTGGTGAGTTGACGCGGAAGGTTCGGATACATGACCCATCGTTTCTGCATGGCTGGTGAGGTTACGCGAAGAGTTAACAATATGTCACCTTCCTGCTCCCCCACCTCCTCCTCCTCCTTTTCCTCTTCCTCCTCCTCCTCCTCCTCCTCCTCCTCCTTGCCTCCTCGAGCACCACCTCCTCCTTACCTCCTCGAGCACAGCCCCCGCCCCTCCTCACATCAAAAATCAGCCCCCTCTCCGCGTGGCTCGTTTCGGGCCGGGCTGTCGGGAGCCGTGGGCCAGGCCCCCGGCCTGATGTTCACTGCAGGAGTCGAGGCACGAGAACTGTGGATGCCATGACAATGTTCACTCGAGCAGTCCTATCATTGAATTACACAGGTGTTTAACATGTGTAAAAACATGTTCTAAAAAGTTCAAACCAAGTTCTTACAGGTTTTGAAACATGTTTGAGACATTTTTTCAGACATCTAGAAATGATTCGGCAGCCTGCTTCCTCTCCGTTGATCGTCCTCCGCAACAAAAGAGCACGCCCGCCTTAATTCTGAAAACTCCGGGTTGACAGCGGCGCCCCCCGCCCAACAGAGGTTTCATCTTTAAGGCAAGAGCCGCTGGCACGACGGCGGCAAAAAGGCCAGCTACGTGGGCTGATTCCCTACCCTGCCCTCTGCTACAGGACTCGACATAAACAGTGTTCTTCGTCTTCGTTTTGTCTTCGTGTCCACTCGTTTTGTCCTGAATCAGCCTGCGCTGCTAAACTAATCGAAACGAACACGGCTCATGAAATCGCCCGAATACCGTTTAGGTCGACCCCTGCTCTGCTATCCTACAGGTCGGTCGAGAGAAGTAGGTAAACACATGCAGTAAGAAGACGGATCAAGCAGCTTGGGACCAGGCCCTCCCAGGCAATAACAGCACACAGAAAAAGCATATCGAGTCTTGAAGTAAGACGGCGCTTGAAGTAGATCGGGATCTGGAAGTCCAGAAAAA